AAACGAATAAAAACACCCTTATCATGGGGTAACCATTGAATGTGCTAGAAATTAGGAACTGCTTGCCTTTAATTATTACGTGATTAAACTGTTCATTTGACAAAATCAGCTTATTATTTATGTGATATACTATGTGTGAAACTGTTTGGTTGACAATCTCTTATCGCACCGTTGATTCCATTAGAACACCTAGACCTTACTCATCCAAACATTTCCTTGATCTAAAATTGAGAATCTTACGAAATCCTAGTAATCTAGAACGGTGTATAAATTTGATTCTTTTTTACTCACCATAAGTTTTCAAATGAATAAGTTTGATCATTGTCTGTATTTCTAATATGATGATGCTAATAATAACTATCTATTTTTATTGTTATATGTGGATTATATGCTCTTAGTTGGTTCATCACCTAAGTGGATAAGCAAGATAAAGAAAAAATTGAATAGCGAATCTGACATGAAAGATCTAGATAAAGTCAAGAGAATCCTAGGTATGGAGATTGAAAGAGCTATGCCAAATTTTGCTTTGTTTCTTCATCAATCTCCCCATGTTTCAAAAGTATTGAAAAGATTTGGCATGCATGATTGCAAACTTGTTACATTACCTTTAACTAATAAATTTATATTATCTAAAAATCAGGCTCCCTTTAATGAAAAAGAAATAGAATACATGAGTAGGATCCATACTCAAATGCAATTGGATCTATTAAGTATTTAATGGTTTACGCTAAACCAAATTTAGCATTGCTATTAGTACTCTTAGTTGGTACATGTCTAATCCGGGTCCTGAGCATTGGGAAGCCTTAAAATGGATGTTAATGTTTTTAAATGGGATTACTGATGTAGATCTAAAGTTTGGTGCTAATAAAAAAGGTATGAAATTTTGTATATGCAGACTATGCGGGGGATAAGGATAATAAAAAATCTACTTCTTCATATGTGTTTACTTTGTCTCACTCTTGTATTATTTGAAAATCCCAGTTACAACACATAGTTGTACTATCCACAACAGCATCTGAATATATTGATGTTGATGTTGACTATGCTGGGGATAGGGATAATAGGAACTCCTCTTCTTCTTATGTGTTTACTTTGTCTAACTCCCGGGTTAGTTGAAAATCACAGTTACAACACATAGTTGTACTATCCACAACAGAATTTGAATATATTGCTACTACTGAAACAGTTAAAAAGGCTTTATGGCTTAGAGATTTGCTTCGTGAACTTTGTGTTTGAAGTGATTATGTGGTAGCATATTCTAATAATCGATCTTCTATATATCTATGCAAAAAT